CCTCCGCAGGTGGTGGGGCCGCCGCTGCCCCTCAGCCTGGGGGGACGAGCGGGGCCGCTTGGCAAGGAGCTGCGGCAGTACGTGGGGGTGCCGGGCAGCAGCGCCTCGAGGGGCCCGAGCTGGCCTGGGTCGGAGCTCTGGGCATGGGGGAGCTCTAGCAGAAGCCCCCGTCCTGCCCCAGTGACTCCGGAGACTCTGGCCTTGCTGCTTTGGCCACAATTGGTCCTTTGCTGGCACCAGCGCTCAGGCTGTAACATCTGTCCTTTGGGTCCATCTTGGCCAGCGGCTCCCACCTGAAATGGGTACTGCTCACTGCTCTCATGGTGCCGGCTGCCGTTTGGCCCAGGTCTCTGCTCCCGCGCTGGCATGGTGCCATGGGCTGCTCCCCAGGCTCTGTGCCTGCATGGCTGGGCATCCCTTCCTTTGAGTCGCTTCCCTGCTCTGGTTCTTTCTCTGGGAGTCAGAGCCGGAGCTGAGCTTTGGCCTTGTGGGGGATAAGTGCCTGGGTGTCCCAAAGGTGGGACTCTGCATGCTGGGCTCTGACCTGCTCGGTCAGGGCTGTTGTGCTTGGAAGCCTTAGAAGGTGCTGCCTGGCTTTGGGCAGCCCAGGGCTGCCTCCCCTCCAGCCCTGGGACACCACAGGCTCAGGGCTGGGGGCTTGCTGGGTGTCCCAGGGGCTGAGCGCAGGGTGGCCCAGGCCAGTGGTGGGGAATGGTTACAGCAGGAAGCTGAGTCAGCCGGGAAGGCACGTCTGTGGGAACATGAAGGAGTCAGGGTGCTGCAGCAGCGGCAGGAAGCGGGAGCTGCACCCTGCCATGGGCAGGGGGTCCGTGCAGAGGACTGTGCTGCCCTGCCAGAGCCTCCTGATGTGCCATCCTTGGCCTCTCGGGGTGACAATGCGCAGACCTGCCTGTTGTTCCTCGGCTGAGGAGCTTACCACTCTTGATGGGGGTGATGTCGGGGCCCTGGAGGTGTGGGGATGGATGGTCTGGGTTTCTCCCCGTCCTGCCAGTTCTCCAGCTCTGCCATGAGGTCTCTGGGCTGAGACAGAGCCCTGGGAGCAGTGATGGGGTGGGTGTGGGGTCTGTGGTGTGGCTGGGTCTCCAGCCAGGCTGGGGAGGTGGATCTTACCTACGCAGTAAGTGACGCTTCTCCCAGGGGCTTTGTCTTTGGCCCGCTGGGGCTCTGCATCCCCAGAGCACCCTGCTCGTGGCTTGGGTCTCCCTGTGCCTGTGCGGCGCAGGCTGGGGAAAGCCTGACGTGAGGTGGGGAAGGAATTATTTTTCTTTCTGGTTAGGTTTTGGCTCTGCTCAGCTGGAAGAGGATTAGCCCATATAAGGGAAAACTGCCTCTCCCACTGCTTCCTCCCTGCTCCTCTGCTCTCCCCAGCCCTCGGCTCTGGGCTGCTTCCCCTCCTCCTTTCTTCTAGCAAGTGAGACCTTGGCAGCAGCATGTGACATCCCTGGAGGTCCTGGAAGAAGGAGGCTGGGGGATGTGGAGCTGCACCTGCAGCCCTGTTGCTGGGACTGTTGCTGTGCTGGCTGGGATGGGAGCTGCTGGGGAGCCTATGCCCCCCCTGCTCCCTCCTGTAGGTATCTGTGTGGTTCCCTCCCCAGCTGCCTGCTGGTACCCTGCGCCCAGGGATGCCAGTTGGGATGAACCTGTGATACAGCATGAAGATGACGAAGGGCTTGTAGGAGCCGGGGGAGGGAGATGCGGAGAATGGGGTGAGTGCGGCTGCAGGGTGGCCCTTAGCTGGGTGTCTGGAAGGAGGGGTTATTTGAGCACTCACGGCTGTGCTGAGCTCCAGGCTGTGGTCAGCTGGCCATGGGCTGGGGAATGCTCCCCTTTCCCAGCCTGTCCAGATCTCAGGCTGGTTAATTAGACAGGCAGGATGCAAATTCCCTTACAGGCAGAGGCAGGGCAGGCTTGAGCTAGGAAAGTCATGGCCGTGAGGTCCCCTTCTTAGACCCCGTGGCCTTCAGAAAAGGCTTCAGTGGCCCTGAGGAGCAGTGCATCCCTGCCATGTCCCTGTCACCCAGCTGTTCTTCCTGCTTTCCTCTGCCTAGGAAACGCTCTCTGTGGCTCTTTCCAAAGGTGACAGCGAAGCTTGAGGCTGAAGGAAGTTCTTGATGTGCCTGGCTCCTGTCCCTAGAGCAGTTTCCCTGTGGCCAGGCTCCAGCCTCCCAAGTCCTCTATGCTCAGCTGCTTCAGGGAGCCGTATGGATGCAGGGCTAGTTACAGCCCTCCTGGAGGAGCCGCCAGCCGTGCTGGGGCTCTGAACACTGCTGTGCTTGGGCATTATTGGGAAAGCAGCCCACGGGTGCCTTGCCAGCACCCTTTTCACAAAGCCACTTTGTGTGTGTGCTGAGGCGGGTGTTTGCTCGTAACCATTAATTTGCTGCCGACTGGGGAGGGCTGGTGGGGCCCTGGCATGTGCTGGTCCCTGGGCCTGCCCGCGCTGGCAGGGTTATGCCCCTCGTCCCCTTCCCACCCCCTGGCTCCAGCCGTGGTTTCCAGCACTCTCTCCCTCGCCGCTGGCTACGGAGCCTCCAAAGCCACACGTTTGCCTCATCCTGGCTCCCTGCTGATGTGGGCTTGGGACGAGGCTTCCTCCTGCCCTGCTGCTTTTTCTCCTGCGGGGAAAAGCCTTCCAGGACCCGGGTGCAGGTCAGGTCCCAGCTGGAGCCTCCTGGGCAGGGCAGACCCTGAGCTGATGGGTGGGTGTCACACAGCACCTGGGTGCAGGGTGTCCCCTGCTCTGGGGTGTGCAGGGTTGGTGTCCCATAGTGTGTGTTGTGTTGTCTCCTCCCCCCGCCCCCCTCCCCACTTCCCTGCACTCTTGGCTTCTGTGGCTGCTGCCCCCGTTGCACTGACCCAGCTGCCGGGGTTGAGCCATGCACCGCCAGCAGCTTATTTAGGGAAAGGCCAGGGCTTTGGCCTCCTGGTGTGCAGCAGAGGAGTGTTTTTCTGTCCTCAAGGCCTTTGCACGTCTGCCGGGAGATCTATGCTTGCCACAGCATCTCTGCCTTCAGCTGCTTATTTTGGGCTGGACCAGGCTCCATCGCTGCCACCCCATGTGCAGTGGAACTGGGCTTCCCAGCCGGCTGGGGTGCCGGCCGCCTCTGTTGGAGAAGCAGGGGAAAGGCCCCGTCTAAGTGCCTTTGTCCTGGAAGCCATCGCCCTCGCCTGCGGCAGCATCCCCAGGGTGCAGGCAGCCGCACAGGGCAGGCAGGCCTGGCGCAGACGGGAAGTGGGAGGCCCATGTGCATGGAGGGGCTGGTTTCCTCCTCGACATCCCCTAGCTGCACAGCGTCTCCTGCTCTTCCCAAATGCTTCCCTGCCCTTGTGCCAGCAGAGGTGCGAGCTCTGGATGAGAGCCTGGGGGGCTGTGGGCCCCAGCTCCAGCCGGGAGGCAGACGCCTGTGCTGCTGCAGGATGCGATAAGCGGCTGCAAGTGTGCTGGGAGGGATGGCACCGCCAGCCGGCATGGTGGGAGGGAGCACCCCAGCGTCAAGCGGCTGCCCCTGAGGTTGTGTGTGTTTTCAGTGCCAGGCTGGCTGGGGGGAGCTGCCTTGGGGTTTGGTGGTCCTGGCTGCCGGGCAGCCTGCTGGGATCTTCACAGCTGGGGAAGGATAATGCTCCCGGCTGGGCCTCGAGGCTGGCAGGGGCTGGAGGACCACAGTTTTGACTGCCACTGGGGTGGTACGTGGGGGCTCTGTACCTGCTGGCTTCGCTGGGATGGAAATATCCTCCCCTGGTCCCCAAAGCCCAAGCAGGGAGGGCGCAGTGCGATGGCTTTGCTGGGGGCTCTGTGCAGGGGGGTTTCTGCATGTGAGTGGTTGTTTGGGGTGCTTGGTGCTGCCCAGCCTGGGTCCACTGAGGGACCGACC